CTTGACTGTATTTTAGTTCACTAGTATTTTGTAAAATACAGTCACATTTTAATTATTATACATTAAATATGTATATAGATTAATGCTATTTAGGAAAAAAATTATTAAACTTATTTTTCTTAAAACATAGAACAGTAAATAAAGAAGCAAACCCAAACAATTATCTCTTCTAGTTACGACCTTTGTAATCAGTTGTTACTTGATGTAGGTTGCTAAGCCTTTTAAAATTTTGCTCGTGGAGAATATGAAACAAAATTTTTTTAAGGTTTTATATATATATATAGTTGGATAACCAAAAAAATCATAAATTACTATACCGATACCATAGAATTCCACTATAATTTATCAAGCTTTGTAACTAAGCTGTATTTCGGTCTTAAGAAATATGAAATTTCGAGCAGACTAAAGACACAAAGAAATCTTGGTTCCAAAGAACAAGATGATATCATAAAATTTTAAAATGGCTAAGAAGTGTATATAAGGGAGTGTTTCCGAAACTGGAAAGAGGTGGGCATGGTGCCACTGTTTGATTTTTTATCTCAGAAAATTGAAAAGATAAGAGGCTCTTATTTTATATTATAGCTTGTCAGTATTGGTAATTTGAGTTTCTAATTCATTCGAAATTATAGACTTAGTATTTTGACTTCACAAACATTTAATTTGAACCAGTGCTGCATTCCACATACCACGTGACACACAAAAATCAATGTTTAACTGTGTTTTTTTTTAATATTTACTTTTAAATTAAGAAATTGAGTAAAGTATAATACTAAAATTTGGATTATAATCTACAGTTTGATACTAAACTTACTGACATAAATTCATGAAATAGTAGTTCAATAAAATTTTGAATGCGAGTCAACAAACGAGATGACATGGCATTTCACCCATGACCCGTCTGAAAAGGGTTAAGTCAAATGCAGTTCAATCAGAAAAATAGTTAGAGAAAGAAAACATGAAGTTAGCCAGCGTGCAAGTGATTAGCTTTAATAGGTGATACTTTAAAAGTGAGTTTCACAATTTAATAGAGATAAAGAGAATAACTAGTCTCGTCAAAGGGTGTTCTAAAATAATTGAACCCACCTTTGTGAACTTTGACGAAAAGGAAACAATTATTTGAAGTTCAAGATAAACTGTGGTAATTCATGAGGTAGCATAAAAGAATTATTCACTGATACTATTGTGATAAAAGCAGAGAAAAATAGTACTTCTTGTCAACTGAATTCTATAGTAATTGAATAAGCCTAAGTGGACTTTTGATAAGAAAAAAAGAGAACTATTTAGAGTTTGAGATAATACAACTGTCATATCCACAGTGTAAGGAATATTTTGTACATACATTTAACATGTTTTGAATATAGTATTTTAAAACAAGTGGATTATGTGCTGTCCGTCTATTGCCAACAAGTCACAGACACCTACTGTAGAAGAATCCTCAGCCCACACATATACATAGAAGCCTGACACACAGGCTCCGCCTTAACACTGGATCCTTGACTAATAGCAATTATAAATATTCATCAACTAATGCTATCTATTGGTGTAAATCAGTAATAGTGCAGAGAGGGTTAAGCCAATTTCTTACTGCAATCATTCATAGATCTAAATAAAGCTTCTTATTTTATTTATTTCTTGGCTAGTTTCTGACTATCCACTCTTTAGCTTGAAAATACAAGATTTGGCATTTGATAGCTTAGTCTAAAACGCTACTTACGATTAGGTGTTTCTCTTTTTTAATATTTCATTACTTTGGTTAATTTAACATAGGCTTTATATTTCACACCTTATATAACAAGTTAGTGATGGAAAAAATATTATTATAATACTTTATAAAAGGCAACTGGTGTGCTTTTATTTATGATTTTTAACTTGTAGTGGAAATGTACCACTGCAAAAACATTAATGCTTATAACTATATTCATGGATCACTTATAGTAAATTTTAGAGCAAGCAACTGGTGTTTCCATTTTGTAAGTAGCGATCTATTCCAATATTTATATTTACTTTCATATCTTACTGATTACAATATTTTCAATTGATGGAATAACGTTTTGAATCAATTTTGGTATTTAATTTTTATGATGATTACAACAGCACTGTAATTTTAGTATACAATTTAGGACTATTCTAAATCTTGAATATGCCAAACTTCATGATGTTACAGATATATTGTTAAATGTAGCAAAAAATATTGTTAAAAGCAGGAGTAGACTACTGAAGATTTTCTTTTTACATTTGCATTGATTAGTGGGATCATTTACTTCTAGCATGTTTATCATACAGAATAAGTTTATAAATTTATACTTTAGTTTTGACCTATATAATTAACTCATTTTTGATCAAAAAGTTTCTTTTAGGGGTGCACCAATATTTAGGCAGGATATTGGAGTGACAATAATATAAGAGAAAAGTACATTATCATTTATTTTGGCCAAGTTTGTTGTTGTAGCTGATAATGTACATCAATATTTTTGCTTGTTGTCCCATGTTGTTTTTAACCCTTTATCTGCCGTGGCCATTTTGATCTTATCGTGAGGCCAAAATCACATTTGTGAATTGAAAAAATTATAGAAACTTATCTTTTAATGGATTTCAGATTTTATTTTTATAAATAGTAGCATAATATTCAATTATTTATACAAAATTGTATTATTTAATGAAATTTAAAGAGGCATTTAATGAAAAAAAATCCTAAAATATGTTTTAGACTGTAAATAAGCGCCCTCCAAGAAGAAAATTGTTTTAAATGTTTCTTTCCACTTCAGCACCGGTCCTGCCATCTATGATAGGTATCTAAACTTTTTTTTCTAGTCTGTTTTCTTTAAAAAACAGCATCTGGGCATGTCAAACCTTAGTTGTAAAACTTTTAGCCAATCCTAGTCAAAGGTGTCAATTTCAGTACCATGTTATTCCAATTGCTATATCTCACATTTGACAAATCATAGAATGATAAGGAAAGCACGTGACGAAACGTTGTTCTCTGGATTTTACATT